GATCTCGATCCATTTTGATAATTTTTGAACGACAGTATAGTAGGTCGTTCGGGGCTGGTATATAGGATCGAGACGGTAATTTATGATAATTTATGTAAGTGCCCGGATGAGTTAGGGGCAGTTGTTTATTCCATGTGCTTGGTCATATACAATATATAGTTTGTAGTTTTTTGTACGTGGAAGTGGCCTAAATACGAGGTAAAACATTTGATTTATGACTTTTTTGCTTGGGATAAGTATAGATTGTGATGAACCTTTATTGTTTATTTAGAACCATCATCATCGTTTATCGATTTTATATCATTCGTACATTGACATTGTAGAAATAAATATATTTGATCGATTGTGTGTTGTTTTTTGCGTCTTTGATGTGTCTCTCGTTGGTCACATAAGCTGGGAATCGTTTATAGCTTATAGGAGATATTGTAGTCCTGAAGAACGAAAGTACTGCACGTATTTTCTGGAAACTGGCGAAGGTTGAGGAACTTATTACAAGCAAAGATAACATAGTGCGATCAGCGAAAGTCGGTGTTTTGAATGAAGCTAACAAGAAGATTCAGCTGCGAAGACCCATTCAACATTTGGTTCCGCTTGAAATAAGCCGGAAGAACATGACATAGATGACTCGATAGGTAGTTTAGTTTAGTTTTGTTTTGTATTTGTGCACCGAGGGTGAACAACGCCGGGAGTGTAAATGACGTCAATTGTTATTGCGCAATTTCGCGCGCTTTGTGAACACGTGACACTAAGTTAGGAACGCTTTTTGAAGAGGTTCGACAATCGACAGAACGACAACAATGTTTGAATTTTATTTTGTATATTTTTATTTATATTAAAGCGTTTAAATTGTACGAGTATACGACATTATTTACAGACAGTAACCGAGTAGCTTTTCTCCATCTAAAGAAAAACAGTTTTACTTTTAATTAAGGTAAATTGCTTCTGCATGAGCAGAGTGGAAAAGTCGAATACGAGTGCAAAATTAAGGCTTGCTGGGAATTGCTAAAAAATTAATTAATTTTTTCGCGATTTCCAGCAGCCTTTTGCGCTCGTACTCAACTTTTACACTAATTTGCTCGGGGACAACCTTTAAATTTAAATAGCTGTTAATGTATAACTAAAGTTGACAATCTGGTTCAGGGAATAATTATCACCATATTGGCATTTTTACAACAAAGAAAAAGTTTTAAGAAAGACGTTTGGGGAGGTCGACCTGGAATTGTTGTGTGAGTAATATAAACGATTTCTATAAACAGTACGTATTTTTATCATTTATAGACCCGGAGCGAGGGGGATTCTGCGTAATATTTCCCGAAGTGATGATATTTTCCGAGGGGCTTTGCCCGGAGGAAAATATCATCACTGAGGGAAATATGTGATATATTATACCAAAAGTTAAAGTACTCACTAAGTTCAGAATAAACTTATAAATAAAACTTGCTGACTGAATATTATAAAATACGCCAATATATTAATACAATTTTTAATTTCTTATGTATACCTGAGTTTTTAACGTTTTCTCTTTAAAATATTTGAGCATGTATCCTTTGGATCATTAAAGGTAACATACGTCTTGAAAATGTTTTGCTAAGTCAAATATTCTGTACGAAAATACGAAATCACAAACAACAGCTCGCGAACGCCATATTTTTTTAGAGCGTGGTGTCCACGCGTCACGCGTGAGCGTGGGACACTATAATATTCCACGGTGGATCTGCCGTGAGATATTTATAGTATCCCACGCTGGATTGCGAAATCATGAATTTGAGTGAAATACCGTAAAAATCACATCACGTGGTACAAATGCTGTTTTTTTATTGGACAATTTGAATTTGAGGTATAATATATCGTTTTATTTCCTCTAGCTGGCATGGAATATAAAAACGTGTCTTTATTCCATGGCAGTATTTAATGTATTCCAATGTGCCGGTTTCCACTTTACATGAGTAAATGAGTAGGTTCAGAGGTATGTTAATAGTCGCAATGGGACTGGGGGACTCGTATTCCTCCTTTCCCCTACCCATCTCCCCCCTGATGCCTCTTTCCCACCCTTCTCCCCACAACTCCTTTGGAACCAACTTTAATTGAGAGATGCTTAAATTTGTTGAGAAATTTGGGGGGGGGGGGGTTGTACAATATAATGTCCAGCTTATTATTCAGTGACAAATAAATTTAAAATTTACAACACTTTGACAAACATTAGAGATAAAAGGAGGAAATTAAATTATATGTAAGGAAGCACTTCTTATTCGATTTATGATGTCTTGTTTATTGTTTTTTAAGAATTATTAAGGACCATGTCTTATTCAGCTGGCAAATTTGATTGTAATTGTGACTGCGCAGAGACTTCAGATTTCAAATGCCCCCAGTCCTGACCTTGCAGGACCCACCCAACATTTTTTTTATCATGGTGATATACGGTGATAACGGTGGTATACGGTGATAACCGCCCCCGCTGCACTTCTGGTTTCACTAGCTATGCCATTTAACAAGAGACCATGCATGCATGCATGCATGCAGCAGTGCAGGTAGAATGATATTATAACCCTATTAATGCATGTTAAAATCAACGGCAATTAGTAAAATCATAGGGTTCACAAACTCATTCGTTGCATTGCTGTTTAAATACTAAACGAACCTAGCTAAATGAGGGAGCTGCGGGTTTATTAAGGACATAATTACATCTTGTGTAGGCCTATAGATTTTCTTGGCATGGATCATGACCGCCTGGCTATCATGTGCGTGTTTGGAGCTGCTACTGGCTCCATCTTCCTTCTCATCTTTCAAAACATTTCAGAGTACAGAAATGCTTGGGGAAAAGGTAGGAATGAGTTTTTATTCATGCCCAACAATTAGCCGGTGCTTAGAAGGTGATTTAATAAAACACCTGTTAGCAGGTGTGACAAATGATACATATATGTGCCATAAGTAGTTCGCCATAGCCATCTGTGCCACAAAGTGAGCATGACATCACGGTCGATTACTGATGAAATGTCCCTCAAGCCTCGAGAGGTTTATAACATGGTAATGAACCTATTACCTAATGAACAAAATTTTGATCTAGACAAAAATTTCATCACAGCTTGAAAGAGCGCATCACAAAATTAGTAATATTCCGAAGTTTCGTTGCGAAATGTTGTAAAATGCGGATAATATAGCCCTGCGAAGTTGGCCATTTTCCAGCCGTCATTTATAGAGTTTCTGAAATGCCATTTCATGCGTTTTGGGCAGAGAGTTTACATAATAGAGAATAGAGAGAAAATATTTAATCATTCACTCACTTTGCAGTACAATTAAGGACCGAATTACATTGTGATGACTATGAATAAATATATGGATAAAAAGTTATGATTACAACGATTGTCGACTATTCATATTTAAAAACTGTCAAAACCTAACTATAGTATCATAAAAATTAGAATTAGATAAGATATCATATTGATAGAAAATTATTAAATTAAAAAAAATTTAAAACAGTCTGTAGAAAACTTCGAAGTGAAAAGTTTTTCTTCTTACGTAAATCATGACTAGCTACTAAGGGAGACTTTGGTCTAGAAACTAACTCATTAAGTTTATGGTTTGGTCGTCTGGGATCTGGTTAAAACGTTTCACGCACGCAGCATGTCTTCTAGCATGTAATTCCTCGATTGAAGCGACATTATAATACACAAACGGGTACACAGTTCGAAGAGCTCGGTTTTGAACGCGTTTGATTTCATCACTGAGGTATTTTGGTAGGGCATAGGCCATAGTGGAACACTGTTGAGGCGTGAGACAGACACAGGTGGTATAAAACTGTATGATATAACCTTGTCAAGTACTCTTGCTGGCTTTAATTGTACCAAAAGGTATATCCGTTTGGAACTCTTGGAGATAATATTATTGACGTGTTTATTCCACTTGATGTAATAGTGAGACCAAGTAACTTCGCTTCTTCTACAACTTTCAGGGACTTTCCATTAGCTTGAATAATTGAATTGGAGCTAGGGAATATATATATATATATATATATATATATATATATATATATATATATATATATATATATATATATATATATATATATATATATATATATATATATATATATATATATATATATATATAGATATATAGATAAAGATAAAATAAACCTGGTTTACTTCATAAGATTTATTCACTACAAACTTGTTTCGTATGACAAGCAATGCTTGCCACACTCATCAGGTGAATTTAAATGTCGCGCTATGTTGTTGCCAAGGTTATATATACTATATACATGTTTGACGTAAACGGAATGTTCAAGTATTAAATTACGTATAGTACATATATATATACAGATTATATTAAGTAATGTATATTGCTTAAGAGAAATTTGTTTCTATGTCTGCATTTCGACAAAAGTTCACTTCTTGAATTTAAAGAACAAAGTTCAGGGTGGTAGATTATGATGAATTTTTCATGTGTACAAAGACTGCAGCGTTTCGTTGTGTTGTTGTAGCTCTTGCATTGCTTAATAATACGCCAGTTTATGGAGTACTTGACCTTCGACTCTTTAAGTTGCCAGATGTATTTGCTCAGCTCTGTGGCATTTCTATACTTGCTTAATCTGAATGAGCTAGTGTGGCAATAATATCTGGATTTGAACTGTTCTTCAGTATGTCCGACATACGATTCCTTTTGATTCGTATCGTTCCTAACAACCGTTGCTTAGTATCCGTTTACGTCAAACATGTATATAGTATATATAACCTTGGCAACAACATAGCGCGACATTTAAATTCACCTGATGAGTGTGGCAAGCATTGCTTGTCATACGAAACAAGTTTGTAGTGAATAAATGTTATGAAGTAAACCAGGTTTATTTTATCTTTATCTATATTAGCTCTATACTTCGGTATATCGAGCACTCTACTCATATATGATTCTAAATATATATATATATATATATATATATATATATATATATATATATATATATATTATATATATATATTATATATATATATATATATATATATATATATATATATATTTATATATATATATATATATATATATATATATATATATATATATATATATATATGTGTGTGTGTGTGTGTGTGTGTGTGTGTGTTAGTTGTGTAATTGTACACTCTGTAATATGTTAAGATGAAAATGTTCTAGAGTGTGTATTATATAATTTCCATACCCAGCGCAAGCAGAAAGATGTTTGCCGCGGCTGGGTTTTGAACCCGCGACCTTCGAATTACTAGATCGACGCTCTACCAACTGAGCTACACGGTCAGACGGATTTAAGACTGGAAATTATGAAATATATACTGAATGTCATAAACATACTTGTTTATATTAATTCAGCATCGAACAATACTAGTTCTGCAAGTGTTACTTAAATCAATCCGCAGTTTCTTTTGGTGGGGCCGAAAGTGATTGGACTCAAACCATTCCTGGACTTCCATGACGGCATCCTGGATGTTGCTTGTAGCGAATTTCGGCACAGCCACAGATTTTGATATTGTAAGGTCGTCTACAAATTTGATTTCGTCATCGACACTAGTTATATTAAGGCCGTACGTTCATCATTAAGGGCGAAAGTCAAAGTTTTTTTTCCCTGTGAGAACAATCACGGCCAAGTTTAACTCGTTGTTTGGAACAATCACGGCCAAGTTTAACCCGTTGTTTTCTATTAGTCAGGAAGTCTGCGATCCAGTTACTTGTGGCGTTCAAAATATCTAGAGATTTTAGTTTTTCAAGAATAATGGAGTGGTCAACATAATCGAATGCTTTCTGATAATCAAACAGCACCACTCTGACAGTGGCTCCCGATCTATCTGTTGTTTCCGTCCATCGGTGCATGATCATTTTTATAACGGCATGGCTTGTGGAAGAGCCAGGGATCACACCAACGTGTTTTGGATCTAAGGTTTTGAGGATAGCTGGTTTCAGCTTCTTATTCACAACAAAATCTTCTGCTACTTTGGAGAGGTTAGGAGTGAGGGGGATGGGACGAAGGTGTTGGTCTATATGCTAAACTGGCGTCGATTTTGGAACAGGGACTGTGTTGGCCAGTTTCCAGATATTTGGCAGTTTGTTTTCTTTAAACGAACAGTTTAAGATTTTCATAACAAGTAACGACAGGAAAACCGCATACGCTCTTACTCTTAGTAACCAAGATGGGATGTCATCATGCAGGGCCACTTGCTTTGGAGGGTTTAAGGAATTTTAAACATTTATCAACTTCAAGGTCAGAGACCGTAAGGACGGTTGATGTTGTGTCGACGGTTTGGTTTATTGCTCTCAAGGTTTGAAATTGTTGAAGAGGTTCGAGGAAGCTGTTCATGTTAATGTTGTTTGCAATCTGAGTATTGTTCAGGTGCTCTACATCATCCATTTGTAAGGTGGAGCAGAAATCGGGCTTAATAGCTTTAATATAAACGTCACGTAAAACACAAAAAACAGTGAAAATTTTAAGTATATTGGTGTAATATTTTGGTAGCTGTTGAAGTCGGACAGTTTGCATCCAAATATTTCTATATATTGTCCTTTCTTGTCACATATAAACTTGCCTTGTCACACAAAGGGGCAACCAGTTGCCCACGCACTGTTAGGGCAGCGGGGGCCGCTACCCCCGTGGTTCGGGCGCCCCTGTTGATGGTTTGTGCTGAGGGAAGATGTAGTTATTTAAATACTGCATGTATTTAAATAAACACTTATCATATATTGCGAAAATAAAACGCGAAATTCTCGGTAATCTTTCCATGTTTCGCGCACCAATATAGTAAACGTTATGTAATGGATGTTATAATGTACTGCAAAGTCAACTGGATACCTCCATATACATAATATTATATACACACCCTAACCTTAAACCTAATCCCTAATCCTAACCTATATTGGTGCGCGAAACATGGAATTAACGATAACCGAATTCTTTTTCTGTCGTTTGCCATTGCTCCAGTATAACTTGCCGGTATAAACCGACGACACATGAAGGGTGCAGCGAACGCGCGAGCCAATCATATCAAAGACAAAGGACATAGGAAGAACAAATTAATTACCCCCCCCCCCCGCCCCATTGGGAAAAGATTTGTCCCCGCCATTGGGAAAAGATTTGTTGACCGTTCTACATTACATCAAGATTGTCTCGTATAAACACTTGTTGTTTAGTATTATATTCTAAACTCGATTTACCAGCGTTCTCTCGATCATAGAAGATTCAGGTGATTTTACACAACTTTTGGGGCTGGTTGTTCAAAAGCCGACTAGCTTAACCCTCCTAGGTTAACTTAAGATACAAAGCACACTTTGCCTTTGGAAATGTTTCTTCAGAAATCTTGTTTGGGTCGATAGGAGTTCACTTCTCTGACGTTTTGAGATAAACAGACGTGCAGAACAACACAAACCAAAACAGCTGGTTAAACTATTTTGTAGTTAAATAGTGATTAACTTTCAAATACGCGCTTCTTATTGGATACGATGTCGTTTCCACTAACTATAATTAACTTTCATCACTTTTTTATACAACCGGCCTCTGGTGTTCGGTAGGATCCGGTAGCGAAGCCTTGACTAGCCCATTACATTAGAATTGAGGAAACATTGAATGATGTACGCTTGCCTGACATTTCTCATGCAACCGCTATCCTCCCATGCATGAAAGTTAACTCTCATCTGCAAGACTTAATTCTCATGCAATTCTTATTTTCGTTTGACCGTGCATGTGATTCTACTTATTTTCTAGCATTCCTTCTCATTGCAACCTGCATCGAATATGCTTTCCTTCATTATCCCTACTTTGGATGTTTGGCGTCATATCACAGAATAATTGGAGCATTGATGGGACTTCCTTATGCAGTAATTGTGTAAGTATAAGGCGAATTCACGATCTTAAGGAAGCGACATTTGACGTACCCTGGCCCAGAGGTTTTTTTAGGTTTGGCGAACGCGAAATGCGAGAAAACGCGCGAAGAAAAAGGAAAAAACTCTGGTGAATTTGTTAGCGATTCCTGGTTCGGATAAAGAATGCAAAAAATGTATAATGGCTTAATGCATCATATTCTAAAAATATTATCCAATCATTATCCTTGACGCCAGGGGCCGGTTGTATAAAACTCTTAATCACTTTTTAATCACTATTTTGTAGTTAAATAGTGATTAACTCTCAAATAGGCGCTTCTTATTGGATGACGTTTGCACTTAATCATAGTTAACTTTAATCACTTTTTTATACAACCGGCCCCATTTATTCTCCTGAATTTCATTCAATTTAACATTACATCTATTCAATTTAATATAAATATATATTTATATTCATTCACTTTAATCTTGCAATATACATTCAATTTAATCCTGCAATATACATTAAAAAAAATCTGTATTTAAATTTATTAAACACACCTCTTTGGGCCGACGTGAACTTTGTCTGTTAATACAAAAGCAAGCAAATTTGTCCTGTAGATTTCAAATGAAACCATTTCTCTCCATTTCGCATTTCGAATAATAGACTCGGTATTACAAAATGCGAATGTAAACTCTCCATCTAGTATTGCTTTCTCGTCCTTTTCGTTTGGCAGTGAAGTAACACGGCATCCACGCTTTCTTAGTTCACGGACGTGAGAGTCAATGAAAGAGTAGTCAATTTGCAAATGACTATTAAGATGAGTTTCTCCAGAAAATTGTGGCTTTTGCCAAGTCGTCGTGTTACTCTCGGTGTTAGAACTTTGGAATATTAAACTCTTCCATAATCGATAGCAAGATGCAAATACATCTTTAATGTGAATCAAATTGGAGAAGGCGCGGTATTGATGCTCCGTTAAACTTTTAATTCAGGAAATTTATCAATCTATCTATTAATGCAGCCTATAAAACTGCTTCTTTCAACTTTTGTTCGTTTATTTAATAATATAGTCAATATAGACATTTCAAAATTCAAATGCTTCAATTCAATCAAAACACGAAACGCCTGCGAACAGGCTATGATGTTTACAATATCCAATCAGAACACGTAGTCTATCGAACCTATAGTCAGAACCAATCAACTCTTTCCTTCCATTTTTGAAAGTTATGTGTGGAATGTGAACCCGAAAACTACGCCAATTGCACCAGAGGGTTATTCAAAACAGGCGAAAATAAATACCCTCTGGTTCCAGGGTACATTTGACGCCGACCGGAAGTAGATGGCACCGTTATAAGATCAGAACATTTCAAGAACAGTGTATTAAAACACCATTTAATATTAAAACAAATACATGCTTGTAAACACGGGTTTACTTATTTCGAATATCTCCGATCTATAGACTTCAATTATAGACTGCTTTTTCCCGACGAAATAAACCCCAAAACCACGCTGACACGCTCGACTGAATGTTTTGTCTAATACATTACTATATACAAACTTACATGAAGTCTTAACCATAAAATAAACAGTAAATTAATTAACATAAATTATAAAGCTATGAAAATGTCAAAACCGTTTCTACAACGCATTTTGACGGATGCGATTTATCGAAAACACAAAGAGTGCAATGGAATAAAACGTATAGTACAATTGCACTCGCAAAGAGTGCAATGGAACGTATTTCATATATTGCACTCTTGGGAAATGGAATTTTCTATTCAATATCATGTGACCATAAACAGCCAATTAAACGATCAGAATTCAATAATTTATTATATAAATGGTGACAGTGCATTTTGATGACGAATCGTGGTGTGATTATTATACTTTTTTATTGTAGCTTTGTGGTGACCTTTACCGCAGGTTTGCAAAAGTGTAATGTAAGTTATTATGAGCGTAAAGTACTGTTTAATAAACGAGCAGGAGTGCTTTATTAGGTTTAAAGCCACGAGCACGCAGCGCGAGTGGCTTTAAACCTAATATAACACGACCTGCGAGTTTATTAAACGGCTTCAAGCACGACTACAAATTCAATAGATATACTGTCTTAGTATTCTTTATATAAATACTACTAATATTATATAAATAATACTAATGAGGACACGACTACAATAGATACCGTCTTATTTGTATTCTTTATATAAAGAATACTGATTAGGAGTGTTTTATCAGGTTTAAAGCCACTGCACGTGACATATTATGGTTGACATGATTTGCCAATAAGCTTATGAATTATTAATGAGTGTTTGAAGTCCATTTTATTGTATCTTGAGGCCCACTTCCACTCACGAAAAATTTTGCACGGACAGAAAATTTTACGAAAATATCATTTTCAACTTTTAAAATTTTAAAAGTTGAAAATTTTCAACGCCAAAATTTTTTTTCGACTGAAAATTTGTGTTGGCCAATCACATTTTACAAAATTTCTTTCTGCGGAAAATTTTCCTGTGTGGAAATGGGCTAAGAATCTTGCATTTCCCCACCTTGATATACTACTGTTTGGAGCCGGTTTTATTGAAACGTAGTAAAGTTAATTTTAGTTACAAATTTTCCGCCTGTTAGACATGAATCTATATAATCCAATAAAGGTTGATTAACGACCGTTGACAATCGTTTTGAACATGATTATGGACTCGTTACTAGTTACGCCCAAACCATGCAAACCAGGCTTTAGTTCACTCCTCTTAACTCTTGGTGTATTTCAATCATTAGGGCTATACGACGCATGAATATGTTGCTATAATATTACCTAATATACCATTGATATTTTGTCATCTGTTTATCATGGGGAAGTTTACACTCGTACTTTACAAGGAAATCAAAGAGTATGGAACATGCGGAATACAATTCTTCTTTCGTAAGGTAAGTTGTGACGTATTTAAAATGTATTGGCCATTTGGGCCTCAAATTGTAAGTTTCTTGGGTTTTGTAATACTGCTTTTTTATCTTTAAATGTAATCGAAAGAGTCCTTATTTCACCGCCATTGTTAATCCAGTAAGTTGAATTCATTCGCGAAAATCTTTAAGATTTGAGCAATAAAATAATTATCACTCATTTACGGCATGAGACCGCAGGAAACAGTGTGTTTTGTGCCCCTCGACCGTTGTTACCCGAGGCAAAGCCGAGGGCAACAACGGCGGTCAAAACACGCTGTTTTCCCAAGGTTTCAGTAAACAAGACGTTCGAAAGAGCGTTAACTCGCTGGGGCTATAGAACCTGTCCCCTGTTTCAAAATGGCGGTGTCCAAATTCTTCCTTAAAATTGATTGATCTCGGACACTCAGGACCGACTATCGGGTCTGGCTTTATGTACCCATGCAAGTGACCCAACAAGAACAAAAATACAATTGTTCGAATCAGCGTACGAAATTGTACTTATGGATGCCAAACTCATTTCTAAACAGCAGTATTCTAGCGATTTATGGCCTTTGAAAGTCAAGTGAAATTGTATTGTTGACAATTGACAAATCTTCCAAATTTATTGTTTAACTAATTAAAAATGCATTACGTTTGATCCTTGATAACTTTCGTATCGTTGGTTTTCTCTTTTTCGGCCGTATACCAATGGATTTGTCTCACGTTTCTCTTCATTTTTATAGTATATTGATCCGACAATAGTTTATCTTGATTCCTTGAAGGTTTTAAAGCGAAGTTTTTACCAAGCGTACGGAACAACTGCCGGCCGACATGAGGAATGTAGCGTAAATAAGCGTACTATAAGATATAACTATACAGGGTGTATAAAAAAACTGAACCTGAGATTTGGAATTGCTCCCAATTTTGCAAAACAGCTATTAGTATCCAGTTTTTGTTAACAGGTGGGAAAATTGTCGCTGACTAAATTTAAATGTCGCTGACCAAAAGTATCGTGTTTCCACACAATTTCTCGTTTTCCCATTTTCCACTCGTGTTGATATAACTGTATATCAACACGGAAAATGTTTTATATTTATTAAATATCACTTGAAAGATACTAAAGATAACTATGTGGCTGTAATGACCATATCTAGGATGAACAGTCAGAAGTGCAAGTGAAGTTGGTCAGACCTTGGTTGAAGGATTACGTTAAGGACCTCATTAATAAACCAAAGTAAGGATGATAAAAAGAGTGGATAATTAACAATTATTCGCCGAAGGCGAGGTGATTATCGGTGAATAAAAACCGAGACGAAGTCGAGGTTTTTATTCACGATAATCACCGAGCCTGAGGTGAATAATTGTTTTAGTATAATTTCATAGGTGATTATTTAGAAAAAAATAGACATTTCTTCGTCATTTATTGACAAAACGGCTTCGGCCGCCATTTTGAAAATCGCTTAGGTGATTATCGCGTAATAATCACCTCAACGGCAACCAATCAGCGTGGAGAATTTTCAATAATCACCTATGTAATTATACTAAAAAGAGATAATTCGGATATAATTCGTATAATGGTCTGTGCCAGTGTAGGTGGTGCTAACAATATGAAAGCTTCGGATTGATATAGGGATACAATTACCTGAAAAAATACAAGGAGAACTGAAAATGCAAGAAGTTTCCTGGATAAAAAGAGTAGCGTTAAGCACTGATCTTGGTGGATTGAGGATACTGTTGAATTCAATAGCGAGCTTAAGATATGCACCAAATCTACGACGCGGACGTGAAGAAAAACTGCAACTATTCCCACAGTTTCACTACACGGATAAAAATTATGGCCTCCAGTTGGTAGACAAAGTCAGAGACTCGAGTGAAGCAAAATAAAACTGGATTCCAAACATTAGCAACGGTTTTTATGTCACGTCCGCGTCGTAGATTTAGTGCATCTTAAGCTCGCTAATAAGTAAATTTTGAAGCCAGACTATTTTTAATAAGGAGAGATTTTTAAATCTGGGACCCTTTACAAATCGAATCGTTGCGTGTTGAAGTTATGTCTTACTATAAACAAATGTTGTTTCGCATGTGATTTGGAAGACACAGCTTGCGGTAAGCTGCATATCATGCACACTTGTACTGATGAGAACGTTTTACCAGATGAGACTCGTGGTCGCCATCACTTCTGCCCAATTTCTATCCAGACAATTAACATGTCTCTTTTTACTAACAATGGAGCGGTTATTATTTATGGCACCGAAGAGAACTGATGTTCTTGGTAAACATTTTGCTGATCCAACCATTAAAAAGTAACAAAAATATTTTCCCCAGCCTCAAACATCAATTAAAAAATAAAGATCCACTCCTGGCCAAAAACTTTACAAAAGGTTATACCATTCAGTTGCCACACATATCTTTTGTCACTTCTGTGAAATTAGTTTGATAACTGCTCCTGACAAATCGGGAAATGATCAAGATAGTGACTCTGATTGATTTACATATTGGATTGACATAGGATTGTTGACATTGCATTTTAGTCCTCAATATTTGAGCGAGTCATGCTTTGGAAATTACAAGAATTTTTTATTACGCAACGCTTGAGTTGTTTCGTTGTTCATTTACCCAACCTTTTACTTACTCAAAATGTTAGTTACCCAACCCTTTTGTCTTTCGCAGGGCCGTTCCTATTCATATATTCGTATATTCGTGTTCACATACCGTAAAAACAATCGCTTTCAAAAGAAATCCGTCTGGCAGAACACGAATATATGAATATACACCCCCAATTATCGCGCTGGGAAGGGCTTTGCTCTTTGGTGCCACCGAAAGAGTTGGGGGTCACTTGGTTAATATGGCGGCTATCGACATACTGTAGCTACAGTATCTAATCCTGGTTTTCAGAAAACCAAATAATACGAATCAAACATTTCGATTTATTTGTAGACCTCCCCGCCATTATTCAAGGTTGGAGTTCTTCTTGAGGAAAATTTACAATCCCAAGAAAAGTAAGTTTTGGGGACCGAACCCCGTACTTAGAGCGAGGGTGAAAGGCACGTGCAATAACCAATACTATAACTGTATTCATTAAACTGGTTATTAAAGGGTTTTTATAGTCTTATTCAGTTTAAAAAGATGACAACCAAGTTCCAAATTTTTCTTTTTTTGTATAGATTTTAAGTTCTCAACACAAACTCTCTCCGTGGTCATGATCTGCTCTATTCTACTTTACGGGGTGAGTCGTACAATGTTTAAATCGATCTTTTTTAAATTTATAGAATAAAAATATATAGACAAACGAACTAGTAAATTCACGAGGAAATCAGCTAAAATTCAAGTGAACTGATTTCGAAAATCCGGACTATAGAAATTCGCCACATAAACCTTTTACTTAACTGGCTGTGTATATATAAGTGTATTTTGTTCATATATAAACATGCCATCCCGCCTATATAGGGCGAGTTTTTCGCCTAGCATGGGATGTTTGTCTAAACGAATGATTCTTCTCTATGTAAATCAAGCTTATGTTTCCTTGTAGATCTCGTTGTTGGACGTGTATCTGGCAATTCTATGGTTGGACAAACTTAACAACCATTCTTCAGACTTTGCTTTAGTAAAACGTTCAGTCAAAGTGTTACGTGATTTGGTTGGTTAGTTTATACTTCATATTTCATTACATTTTCTTTTAAGAGTAAAGGACATCGGCAGCAAAATTTATGTTTATCTACAATCTTGGCCATAAACCTTAGATTTATTGTACAGACAAAATGTTACGTGTTAGTAAAAATGTGGGAAAGCAACATTGAATTGAGGGGGGGGAGGTACAATATAATTTTAAAAACCCAAGTATATTAAGAAGTTGCGAATTTGTTTAGCCGTTCTATACGTACTTTTGGCCAAGATTGTAGTTGATAATGATATGCAACATTTTTGTTCCTTTATACAGTTGAAAACAACTTTTAAAACTGTTTGCAGTTTATCGATTTTACGGCTTTTTCAACTTTTCGTTTCCGAGGACGATAAGTTAGGAGTTTATATACGGCCTGGAAGATATAACAGCACGAGATTTAATTCTCGTATTTACTTTTAGAAAAGTTTCAATATTAGTAGTTGAATATTGCAGCTATTTGTGAATGTTCTCGTAATCGAAATTGTTCTCGTAATTAAGGAGCTATATTTATCATGTCTCTATATAAGAAATGGGCCTCGTATATATGATTTTCTGAACTGATTAAATGATACTCTCATTAGATGCTTTGCACGTTTAGAGTTTAAGGTTTAGAGTTTAAGGCCAGGGTCAAACGTCGAACTTCTCATGCGCCGAACCTGATGCAAATGAAGTGAAACAAAGAACTTAGCTTAACATTAGGTTCGGAGCATGAAAAGTTCGACGTTTGTCCCTGGCTTAAGGTTTGCAAAGGACAACCTTTTTTGAATTAGCTGTATATATTACATTTAACCATTTACGTTTTTTACACCATGATTTTTCTTTTTTTGTATTATTGCGATCAAAAAGCCAGATACGATGCGATTTAAAAATGCCGCTCGAAATCGCATTTTTCCACCGTTCGGAATTGCATGTAAAGCTATTGTCTGAGTATTGAAATTATTCTCGTTTGGGATTCAAATTTAAGTTGTAAGAATCAAGATGGCGCAACACATGTGCATGTAAGCATCAAGTTTTGGTAAATTTCGTCTCGAAATTTTGCATGGGAGCTTGCAGACTGGACTCCATTCTCGTACCCATAGCCATTCTTACGCGCGTTCGACCGAGCGCGACGAGGGGCTCTGGCTTGCTCTGGCCAAATCCATATCAAACTGGCATCTGATTGGCCATAGTTCTAATACCGGATATTGTTCTCTTACCATGTTTTTATGGTATCCGGTTATGGATTTGGCCAGAGCCCCTCGTCGCGCTCGGTCGAGCGCGCGTAAGAAGGGCTCTGGGTACGAGAATGACTGGACTCCAATTCCAAAAGGGCAACCAACCTCGTACCCAGGCTCTTTTCACTACGCGCCTCGCTAAGGAGACGCGTAGTGGAAAGAGCCTGGGTACGAGGTTGAAGGGCAACAAGCATGGTCATGTGGGAAGTTATCAGCAGGAGCTATCAATGTAAATATTGAACAGTCGGACATTTGTCAGATCCAAGCAAAATTGTTATAATCCACACTGGACTTGTTATATGAATGCCTTCACAAAACGCAACATACATTACTCAGTGTTGCCCGGGCTTATAGATTTTATAACGTTTTCTCGTTTAGGTTTGGCGCTCGCTGCTGCTCTTTTTGCTGTCATATTGTGTGTTATCTCTCTTATACGTTTCCTGGAAAACCATAAGTATGTTTAAATCCCCGCACAGGCGAACATGTTTTCTTGGACAACTTTTCCCCTACAAGTTTTTTTGTGAAATTTCCTTGACAACTGTTCCTAACCTCATACCCAGGCGTTTTTGGGTTGCCGCCACACTATGACCAGCTTTGGATGATGCAAATCTTATAGTTTCGTTTTAAATTTTTCTGGTTTAAATTTCATGCAATATATAGCTTCATTCATGGTTGAATATGAATATTTCTGTATTATAAACACCTGGGGCCACTTTTAACCTGTGATTCCACACAATTTTAAGCTTTCCTTTTATATTTTATCTATAGGAACAACATGCTAAGGATGTTCAAAGGAGATAAATCTTTTATTCCTCGGACGATTAGTGTGTCACAGTTCATGATTGTAAGTTGAGCGATATACTGATATTTCCCTATTAATATGAACTTTTCAGCGACAACGTTTAAGCCCCCTACACAGGGACGCCGGAAGATCGATAATTGGGGCGGCAGATATTCATATATTCGTGTTCACAGACTGTAAAAACAATCGATTTCAAAAGAAATTAATTGGGTAGAACAGGAATATATGAATATCTGCCCCCCCCCCCCAATTATCGATCTTCCGGCGTCCCTGCCCCTACAGACGAGCAATTTTCCCTTGACAAACTTCTCTTGACAAGTTTACCTTCTTGTGTGTACATGGTCAACAAATTTTCCGTGACAAATTTTGTTGCGAAATGTCAAGGCTATTTATTGAGCTCTGAATGTTTTTACTGTTTAAAAACAAGCATATTAAGATAGCTATAGCTAGCTTTCACACAAAGAGACTTGTTATGGAAAACGTTGCTGTTTTCTGTCCTGTACACAAGTGCATGAAAAAGGCGTGGCCGTAACTAGTTCAAAGTATAAATCCACACCTGAATATTTAACAGTTCTACGAACTCAAGTCGGATGAGCTGATAGCCGATGAGGCGCGTATAGCGCCGAATCGGCTATCGATTATAATATTCGACGAGAGTTAGTGGAATAACTGTTTTTCCATTTAAGGTTTGAATTCACAGATTTTGCTTTTCGAATATTTTGTTTTTTGTTTTTATCTTCGCTCTTTCGGCAGATTATTTTTTCAAAAATATATATATTTAACCATTTTAAATTTTAAAAATTGATTTGCTAACCTGTAAACAATTTGTGGGAGTTTTTCATTGCGTTTTTAATGCTGTAAAGGCTATAAAAAGCGAACAACTTGACGTTTTCTCGTTCGCAAAACGTCGGAAATTCAGTTCGAGCTGCCATTTTGTTTTTTCTACTAGCAGGATATGAGCTAATGTCCTGCTAGTAGAGTACCAATGTTTGTTTTTCCTAGGGGAAAGGACTAAGATACCATAGTTTTCAGATTGGCTACTTTTTGTGGGGTAGGTGTTACTTGACTATATCCCAAATATGATCCTTGTTTATAGTATGAATAATATTTGGATAATTCTAAGAAGAAATATAATATATCTTTGTAGTAAAAAACCCTGTCAAAATTGCCGGATATGAAGTGAAATGAGTGAATTTCGGGAGGAAAATAAAAAGAAAAAATAGTTTACATTTTATAATGACATCATACAGTATCTGGCAAGTTAGACAATGAAAAAGTTTACCAAGATGAGCTTTTTACATATACCAAAAGTCACATTTACGTTGTGTCAATTATTTACGCGAGTGAGATCAATGGGAGGTCCACCTATCACCCAAAGTCATGAATTCCTGATCATTGATGGACTTTTCACTCTCCTATACGTCCTATACTTCCTCAGCTCGTTGACCTTCCTTTACCTGGGGCCGAGCGGAATCAAGGATCGTTAAAAAGTGCATTTATATATTTGACAGTAGTGTTGCAGTTATTTTAGGAAACCCAATTTTGTAGAACAGGGAGGGGAGGATAGGATTAACATAATATCAACAGAAATTGTTGCATTTGGTGCCCCCCCCCCTCCGTCATTTTAGATTTAGCAAGATTTTTACACCGTTGTTCTATCTTTTCAGGTTACATTTTGCTCTTTACCCTGTTTTCGGTCATCTTCATATTTTTTTACATTTTATCAATTGGCATCGTTCAGGATTTGGTCGTGGGCTGGTTAGAAGGAGGAGGGTGGGTAAAGCCTTGTTTTCTACATAACTTGTTAATAAAAGTTTAATTTGCCACTCTGTGCGAGTTTTTATTATTAACATGACAAAATTACTGGATGTTGATTGGTTGTGAGGAGTTCAATAATTTCATTAATTGTACTGCAGTACAATTAACGTTCACAAAACAAACAAAATGGCGGAATTTAATTAAACTATTCGGTATTTAATTAAACACAAATGAAATTGCCCTAGCAAAATAACTAAATAAAAATACGAACAAATTAAAAGCACCAAATTTTGGTTGGAAATCTGGCAGGACTGGGCTTTGGCGAGAGAATATGATGTTGACATTGAGAAGTATCCAATTTTGTCATGCTAATAATAAACAAATAATCATGCGATGTTGCTCGTACAATTAGGGATTAATGGTATACTCGTGACGTTTGGAAATTTTGCCAAATTGGACTCGCTCCGGCGGCCCAAATTGGACTTGCCATCACATGATTACCAATATAAATTGTAGTTTGATTTGTGTATCCTGCCTAAAACATCGCCTCTTCCCCCAACACAATGTTGTTGAATTACGTTGAAAATGTAGGCAAAATAATGGCAGCATTTGGTGGGGGTAAGGGGGGGGGGGGACTAATGAAGTAATTTGAATGTATTTTCCTAAAAATTCGATCTATTTTATTAACAGTTTTGTCCACGATTGACTAGGTTGGTTCTACCTTGTAAGTTCAGTTCAGAACGACAGAGATTAGGCTGCTTAGGCAAATGATACCGGAAAAAAGAAGTAGGTTACTTAGGCCTAGAGGGCATGAGTATATACTCCCCCTAGTGAGAACAGAAAGATTCAAAAGGGCGTTCATAAATCGTTGTCTGTATAACTTTGTTTAGACTTTAATGTATTTAAAACTTTTTAAAACTTTTTTACGCTTCTTAACTTACATTGTAAATATAACTATCTAGATCAATTACCTTTCGATTGTAAACTCAGACGGATGTATCTGAGTATTTTAGTAAAGACTATTATTATTATTATTATTATTATTATTATTATTATTATACCGGAAGTATTATTCCAGATCCATTCTCCATGACATCGGGTCCGTAACACGGGTCAACTAGTCCCATTGATCCAAGTTACGATTATTTTAGCAAGCCATTTTGCCTCATAAAGACTCATAAGAGCATATGAGCCTGCTTTGCTGGGAGGCTCACCTGAGTGCATGGATGAAGTATTTCTGTGTTCATGCGACTGTAATTTTATCTCACCAATATCCAACTTGAAGGACAATAACTTACCATGATGACAATGAAATGTTTTTAGTTGTAATTAAACAAACAGCACCTTGTATTACAACTTTAGTAGTAGTATATCTGTTTGGGTCTATTAATGTTTATTTTTTGTTTGCATTTTCCAACTGTATGCCGTTCAATACTATATTATAGGTCAAAATCGGTAAAAATATGTCCATCCCGGCCAGGTGGAATAATAAAAGCCTCCACATGGAGAATTTTATCCCATATGACTGAGATCTCACCTACAGTAAAACCCCACGTATAAGAACCTAGAGTTTAAGAACCTGTTGGGCTAAAATTGGTTATTTAGACCCCCTTTGTATAAGAACCTGTTTAGGCTAAAATTTCAAACAGGTTCTTATTTTATTTTTATCATTCTAACAGTGGAAACTAAAATTTATAAATAAAAGAAAACAAACTCTTCTCTTCATACAGGGCTTTCAGAGTTATTCTGAGTAGGTGGCTGTGTTAATAAAGTATAGCCGGCTGTGGGGAGCAGTCTAGGGAGTCTTAAAGTCATCCAAATTAACTAGTGCATATTGATTATATAGCTACACAACTGAGCTCTGTAACCAAATTATAATGCATCAGTACTTTCATTCTTCAAGAAGATAACTTCAAGATTTAAGATGACAATTAACTAAATCAATTTTAAGAAATACTATGTCGTTTTCGAAAATTAAATAACCAGGATATACTGTAAAGTAGGGCAGGTTGATGAAAATGAGTCGCTTTTTCTTCTTCACCAACTGAAAATGAGTCGCTTTTTAGTCGCTGGGGCACTCTGTGCCTCCAGCGACTATAGGTTTCGGCTTCATCGCGGATTGTTGGTCACAAAATGACCTACGTCATTTTTTTGTCAAACATTACGTCATTACTTTCAGTCGCTGGATTCAAGATGGCCGCTTACTTGGGAGCGTATTTGGAAATAATTTCATCGATTTTGTGCATATTTTCTTCATTTTTTCGATGAAACTTAATAGTTTTCCCATCAGCCAGACTTTATAAACCGAAAGTCATCTTATATGAGTAAACTTGGAAGGCTAGAAGCCTGAAATAGACGACAAAAGTTCACAATTTTCACAAAGTTGGAACATCGTAAATTGCAACAATAATATTCGCAAGTTGCTGTTTATTTGGATGTAAATAGAATCTGCTTAATGGACAAGGGTTTAATAGGGCTTATTGCCTTGCTGGCAAATGATATTTTAAAAGCTCCCAGGACAGCTGTTATCTCACAATAGGTATTGTACATTAAAAATCTTAGATGTGTAACCAGGATTAGACATAATGAAAAGATGAGACGTTCTCTGGTTAATATATTTATTAATCACAAGCTTTCGGCTACCAGTCTGTAGCCTTCAACGGGTGTATATACAATATGATACAAGGACGCTAAAACTATATAATATACATATTATATAGTTTTAGCGTCCTTGTATCATATTGTATATACACCCGTTGAAGGCTACAGACTGGTAGCCGAAAGCTTGTGATTAATAAATATATTAACCAGAGAACGTCTCATCTTTTCATTAGGTATTGTACAATTCAAACACACAGAACATATTAATTTGTATAATAGATAAATTTGGCAAAGTTAATTACATTGTTGCTATGCAATTCACAACTTTAAACATTCATGTCTAGTTAGTGTTCTACAGTAGTTCACACATAGAATAGAACAGAGATAACTAAGCATTTGATAAGCCTTATACACTATAAAAGTCATTCATTCATTCATGTAGCTAGATAATTCTAATGCTTAGTTATCTAATTTGTTCTTCTCTATGCTTCAGTACACTAGAACAATGATACTTTATAGGCATGTGACTTATGCAAATTTGTGAATTGGATATAACCAAACTTAGACAAATTTGTTTATCGTCTATATATAGTCGGGGGACTTGTTTGATGAACTTTGTTTTAATTTTTCCTTAAATCCCATTTTTGACAAAAACAATTTCATTATATGAACACATAAACTTAACAAACAAATAGCAGTCTTAATCTCAATCACATGCAGCGTAATATGCAATAGCCCCAGCGACTAACGCTCAATAGAGTGTCTTGTTCTTTAGAAAATAAGAACCTATTTAAGAACCTGTTGAGCCTAATTTCGCGATAAGCACCATTTATATAAGAACCTGTTTGGCTAACTTGAAAAATCTAGGTTCTTATACGCGGGGTTTTACTGTAGCACAAGGTGAGATCTCACCTAGTCAGCCTGGCTTGTTTCTCATACGAACACAAATTGTATTTTATATGTGTTAACAAAGGGCACTCAGGTGAGTTTCCAGGTTATCTGGGCTCATAAATGGTATTCATCTCAAGAAATGTTGCTTCACATTTTGTTTCAGTGTTCTCCTGGCCGTGGCTCTTCTTACCTACTTGTGTCTGCTTATAATCGCGGCGACAATATTCCGTGATTACGACTTTCCTAAAAACGTCATATCTATAAATAACAGGTATGTATTTTTGTGTGTGTTTTGATGTTATGTATACTCAGGTGAATTAATGTTTTTGATGTTACGCTGAATCTCTGATCATGTACTTTACTGTGTATAGGTTCTCCCTGGAACGTGGGATTACTCTAAATATCCCGTACACCTCGAAACAAAATCCCTTAAAGGCCCTAAAGGCATCCATCCATGAACAAAAAAGTCTTTGACAAATACTCCGCATTGTCAGAATAGATATGAAACTGGCATCTCCTGTGGTATAATCACACCAATATTGTTGCAAATCGCTTCATTTATAGTTTATTCAGTCTCTGTGTTGATTAGTTTGATTTCAGTGGATCATATTCATATGCCCTATGACACATTTAGACAGATTGCCCCCTACTTAATGAAGTTTGGGTTTTTTCCCAGAAACGTATACTTGGTGTTCTCGTATTTCTGGTTTTTCGTTGGTCTTCCCATGGGTGTCTTCTCTGCCATATCTCGGATTCTGAAGGCAATGGCTGTGGGAGCTCTAATGTTGCCGAGAATTGATCACAGTGTCATGCCTGATGGCTTTCAACGGTTTGATCGAGGTAACCAACTCGCATAAGTGACATTAAGTGTACGGGGTTGATGCTTTCCGGGGAGGGGGAGGTTGAATGTTTGCCCATGTTGTTATGGAGGATTGCAATGAAATAACACAGGCCTGAATTTAACATATGTTTCGATAGCTCTGCCTGAATTTTCTGGATTTGTCGTATTGCATTTGCCCGAATTTCATGGTTTTGTAAAGTTTGGAGGGGGCAGTTGTGCCCCCGCTGTCTCATACGCTTATGCCAACTTGTTGCTGGGGCGGGGGGATAGTTTAGATTTTAATGGTGTTAGGTCAGTGACAGACACTGGGAGATAGGATCCATGGGAAAACTAGTTTAGCTCGGGAAAATGGTATGAAAATGTTTACGACCTTCATGGAATTTGGAAGTCAATTTCCGCCATATTGGCTTTGCTTTTCTCGACCGACGTTCTCGCTCCAAATATATGTGGAGCTCACTGGTTTCAGCAACCATCTTTATACGGTGATACTTATGAAAGCGACGTTAATTTTCGCCATCTTAGCTCCACTTTTCTCAAAGGCCGAATTAATGAAGATAGTTATCCATGTATGTATATAGAGAGAGAGAGCTCCATGCAGGGACGCCGGAACGATAATAGGGCAAAGGGGGGCGGACGCACACCAAGGGCACCTTTTCTGAAAATTTTTTTTCCCTGTGGCTACCTCCCATTTTAGGGGTCAAAAATTTTTTCCGGACATACAAAAATTTTCCGTGAAGCCAAAAATTTTTCCGGATATCTTAAATTTTCGCCATTTCTTCATAATATTTTTCTAAATTCCAAACATTTCCCAAAATTTTTATAAATATGAACTATAAATTACCTGAATCTCGTGATTTTCCTACAAAAAGCATCGTTGGAAATGTGATTTATCACGTATTATTTTACAACTAAAAGGGCACTTCTGCCCCCCCTGCCCCCCCTAGCAAAAGGCAAGGGGGGCAGCCGCCCCCCCCTGCCCCCCCCCAGTTCCGGCGTCCCTGGCTCCATGACTTGGTCACATTGGCGTAGCCAAGGGCCTAGACACCGATTGTAAAACTATAGTCGATACGCAGCAGGCCTCGAATTTCCCTGAAATCAATCGACGGCAATGGCGTTAAAAATTGCTGTAGAACGTAACAGCTGTCTACAGCAATTTTGGCAGTTTCCACAGCATTTTTCAAATTACTGTAATAGATAATATGTAATTTACGTGGTGTTTCCACAAACAAAACCTATTACTGTAATAGAATTTAATTTTACTGTTACTTTGGATTTTTGACAAGCTAGAAACATGTCTTCGTATTTCTTTAGTGTTTTTTTTTCGAAGAAAAGTTAGACTAAATTAGTGATTTACGCATGATTTGATCTGAACTCAAGTACCAAAGTAGTATTGCACAGTGAATAGTATAAAAATTGCACTATACGGCAAAAAATTGCCGTCGTTGCCGCAATGATCCACGGCATTTTGTTCTCCCTCAACGGCAATGGAGCATTTGCATTATAGAGTAAATTTTGATCTAGACAAATATTTCATCACAGCTTGAAAGAGCATCACAAAATTAGTAATATTCCAAAGTTTCGTTGCGAAATGACAATGTTGTAAAATGCGGATAATATAGCCCTGCGAAATTTGCAATTTTCAGTCATTTTGTATTACAAACGGGAAATTGATGCCCCAACACCCGATTGGGCTGTCAATTTCTCGTGCGTAATACAAAATGACTGAAAAACGGCAAACTTCGCATGGCTATATTATCCGCATTTTACAACATTTTGCAACGAAACTTTGGAATATTACTAATTTTGTGATGCTCTTTCAAGCTGTGATGAAATTTTTGTCTAGATCAAAATTTAGTCTATAATGCAAATGCTCCATTGCCGCGATAAAATTCGAGCTCTGATACGCAGGCTACAGTCTTTATAACATTTTTTTGTTATTTTGAAAGGTTTCAATGCGTACATCTGTTATCTTCACGTGCAAACAGCTTATAGAAATCCAGTCCTTCGAGTTTTCTGTCAGATACTGAGTGACGAAACACGTAAGTTTTGACAATTTCTTTACAGTTTAGGGTGCGAATAAACCTCATGAATTGTTCATAAATTTTACAAACATTTTTTTACAACCATAAATTGGTCGACTTCAATCGTATTATCTGCGCCCGGCATAAGATTTCTCCGCATGTTATTTAACGAAAATCTTCACATAAGCCCCCCCCCCCCTCCCCTCCAAAAAAACACAGCCCTCCTCCTTCAATAACCCTGCTTTTGGATTTGCAACGTACTTATGCGAACAGACTTCGTCATTGTTTGATTAGGGTAATAAAAGACAACAAACGATAAAAATCATCTTTCTAAAGTATGCGAGTGATAGACATTTTTGTTTTGGAAGACCGTTCAGAAAACGTGTACCATCTTTCTAAAGGGAGGAATATATCGATCCCCCCTATTAAAATGACTTACACTTTTCACGGCATAATCATTTAATACCCCAAAGGGTATTGGGCTGTCAATTTCCCGTTTGTAATCTAAAATGACTGAAAATTGCAAACTTCGCAAGTCTATATTATCCACATTTTGCAACGAAACTTTGGAATATTACTAATTTTGTGATGCATGCTTTTCAAGCTGTGATGAAATTTCTGTCTAGATCAAAATTTAGTTTATTACGCAAGTGGTCAATTAGGCCATGGTATAATTTGTGCATGATACATAACTTCTTTTGCTGGCGAAGCTATAGTCATACGATGTACTATTATTTAGTCATATATTAATTATTAGAGGATGTGAGTTAAATAGAGGGAGGGGGCTTGTTTCTTTTTAGCGCTTCTAAACTGGGCCCAATTAAGAAGGGGGATGTTAAAAAGGGCTAAATAGAGGAAATATGATCATAATAATAATTGTGTACTATTTGTAGAATCGTGAATAATTAATAAGGCTACAAACAAATCACGACGCAGTATTTAGGTCACATGTGCACACTTATCGCAGTAAAGATCAAAAAGTCGTGTTGAGGGATGTTTATGAGAGTTATGAATACTAATTCCGAACAGTGGCGTAGCCAGCCCGACAATTTAGTCCCGCTATGCAAATTCATGATCAAAATTATTATCATTATTCATTTCTTTAGAAATTGATTGTTTTCACAGTCAATGAACACGAAAATATTTGCATAGCGGGACTAAATCGTCGGCCTGGCTACGCTACTGATTCCGAAGCAGGACGATTATTAGAATCAAAACGCATTACATCACTATAGATTTACGCTGTAAATGCATGCTAATGAAGCGTGAGATTGTCCCCATGGCAGTGAATTCTATATAATAAAGTAAACAAATAAATTCATTTTACAAGTTCGTTAAGATATCGACAACGAGCTCGCAGCGCGAGTCATTGTTAAATGCCTATAAAGATTGGCCTCTCATATTTTAACTATACCACTTAAACACGAGCAGAAGTGATTTATCAGACTGCGAGTGTTTTAAATGGCTTAAAAAACGACGACACCTATCTGATGAGGTTATTGGCAAATTAATTTTAAAAATAAACGTCTAAAATCCGAGAAAATCAAAGCTAAAATTTATGTAAATGAACATGAGTTTTTATCACATATATAACCACAGACACGGCAGTGATTTCCCGTTTCTTTTCCTCATGAATTATTAATGAGTTTTTTAAATAATGTATGAAAGGACACAACAGGGAACGAAAATGGACATGTTCAGCTCAAGCTCGTGCCAGATGGTTCCTCGCCCTTACCTTGGCTCGCAACCCACAACTGGTGTCGGACCGTAAACCTGGTGGTGTTGAAGCACCTCAACCTGGTCAAGGTGGTTGTGTCAAACATGGCGACGTCAAAATTGAAGTTGGTCGGTATGGATTAATACAAGATAAGTGAACGATACGCAGTACAGTAAAAACCCACATACTGTAAAAGAATAACTATTTTTTATATCAGGGTGAAGTTCTTTTATAATATCAGCATGCGCACATTCTCATGACATCGATCAAACGATGTAAGAGGCTGCGTAACAATGAAGCAAAGCTTGCCCCAAACTTTTCCAGGTTTTCCTGGAAAAGTAATTTTTGCAACAAAACTAACACGTTGATTATGCGGAAACGTTCATATGTCAATGTTAACATGGCGCTTTACGAGGAATGCAGGTTTGACACACAATGGTTTTTAAAATGATTAACATGGCTTGCTTTTTTGTACAAATGAATATTGGCGGGATGTATGCATGCGACGGATCATGTAAATATTTGCTTCATTGTTTCGCAGTCTTTTAAATTGCATCGTTTGATCGATGTCACGAGACTGCATGGGAGCAGGCTAATATAATAGGTAGTTAGTGAGCAACGAGGCTAGAGTTGGTTCTTAACTGGTTCTTATTTCTAGGAATTTAAATGTGCCATTACGCTGATAAGGTCGCTAAGACAATGGGGTTAATGATGGACTCAGGCAACACGTCATCTCCGTCAATTTCGCGGGGCCCAAACAGCGTGCCAGTGCGGGGCCCCAAAGAGTCCAAGTCCCCCAGAAAACGCGAGGCCCCAAATTAAATTTAAAAAGCGAGGCACCAAAAGCAGGGCCTCCAAACATTTTTTTTTGTTCCCTGTTTCAGTGTTTCAGCGTTGGACCCCCAAAGACCCCAAGGTCCCCAGAAAACGTCTGGCCCCAAATTTAAAAATCGGGGCCCTAAACGGTTTTTTTTCCTGTTTCAGCGCGGGATCCAAACAACGCGGGACCCCAAAGAGTCCAAGGCCTACAAAAATGGAGCCCCAAAACGGCGCAAATAAACGCAAGGCTCCAAAAGCAGGGCCAAAAAAAGTTTTTGTTCTTTCTTTGGACAAGGGGCTCCAAAAAGCGAGGCCAAAAAAATCATAGGGGTCAGAAAATTTCAAAATTCGCAGTTCTTCTGAATACTATAAGATTGCTGAATGTTGTGGAAGACGTCAGAAGTTTATATGGACGCCATCATGTTTAGCTATTTTCCCCTGTAAATAATAATAATTTTAATTGTACAAACTGGATTGATTTTCAGTTTCTTTATTCTTTTTTTTTTTAATACACAGGGAACTTTTCAACGCATGAAATACAAAGAATATTTTTTAATCTTACTGAATTCAGTGTCTAAAATGCCGTTGGGCGATGTGGGGGGTGGGGGTCAAGGGGCCCCGCGCTCACGGGCCCCGCGGAACGTTAATCTGGCCCTGTTTCTAAATGGTCGTATATAAAGGTGTGGGTAAAGCATGAAACTAAGTTTAATATTGTTAACCTAGTAACGTAAAATATAATTTTAATAATTTTATCTGTTTTACTAAGCACATTCTCTCTTTCGTTTTCTCAATTTTATGTCAAAAGTATCATGCCCAACTGCACAGGGTCAAAATTATTGGAATATCATCAATTGTTAAGCTACGAAATTATCATGTATTCACATGCTATTAGCCATTCAGAAGTTGATGAGTGGACTGGGGACGAGTGTTAAAAAGTGCCCAAATTAAGAAATGGACCAAATCACTAAAACGACCACCTCAAAATTAGTAAGTATACAAAGTTTGAAGACGTTTACAAGAATATCCTTCGAATAATAAGCTTTCGAAAATGGTGATATTTACTATGAAATGTATTGTAATTTTTGTTTTTGGGGATGCGCGTCCCAAAAACAATCTTTTAACCAGTAATTTCACAATTTTCGAAAGCTTATTATTCGAAGGGTATTGATGTAAACGTCTTCAAACTTTGTATACTTACTAATTTTGAGGTGGTCTTTTTAGTGATTTGGTTCATTTCTTATTTTGGGCACTTTTTAACACTCGTCCCCAGTCCACTCATCAACTTCGGAATGGCTAATTCGGAGTTTCGACTGCGCATCCAAATGACGCGTTCTGAGTTGTTCTGAGTTCAGGCTGGAGCTTTGGAGGCGTTAAAATGTGCCATGTCAAAGTATTGAACTGTTCAATCATCATTTGTGTTTCAACTTAGGTGCCGATTACATGGAGCATTTTAAACCCCGGGGTTGAACTCAGCCCTGTCGACCGGGTTGAAATTTCAGCCCTGCCTGTAATACAAAACCCTATCAAAATCAAACGCGCGATTACATGACAAAATTTTCAACCCAGGACCGAGTTTAAGCCTGGGTTGAAATTTCAACCCCGCTTCAGCAACCCCCGGGGTTAACTCGGCCCTGGGTTGAACATTTTGTCATGTAATCGTTTGAACCCAGGGCTGAAATTATTCATGACCAAAAATGGAGGCTTTTACTTGCGGGATTCAATGCCGAGAACGTATAGCATTTAAACCCCTGGGTTGAAATCGTCCATGTAATTGCAAAAATTTTCAACCCGGTTAACAGGGCTGAGTTCAACCCCGGGGTTGAAAATGCTCCTTGTAATCGGCCCCTTATAGTCAAAATAGAACTGTCATCAAATAATTTTTGTACTAGCATTTTTTTTTACTTGTGTAAAGCAAATAAAGAAAGGTATTAATATTTTCTAATATGTATGCAGGTCAACCGCGCGGAAGCTTAAGCACTAGTTAAAACACGAGTGGTGGTGCTTTATCTCTGCGCATGTTTTAAATGGCTTAAAAAACGACCCATCTTATGAGTTCATTGGCGAAGAAATTTTAAAAATAAACGTATTGTCTAAGCAGACTAAGCCGAGAAAATCAAAGCTGAGTAAGTTTATCTAAATTAACATGATTTTTTATCACATATAAAGATCCACACCCACCGGACGCGATTCGACAACGCTACGCGATTTTTTGATTTTCACTGAACGATAACTTTGATCCTAGTTTAAGTTTTCCAAATATTTAGAAGCGTTATAACATTTTGAGTTATTTGGTCTACATATCTTTTAAAATTTGCTCTCATTGGCTGTTTTATTGACTTTCAAAAACTAAAAACTCGCGTCGCGTTGTCCAATCGCGTCCGGTGTGTCTGGACCGGCCTTAAAGCCACCGACACGGAGCGATTTCCTTTGTCTTTTGTTATGAATTATTTACGAATTTTTTATTGTTCTTTGAGCAACGTTTGCATATTCAAACAAGACGCCTGCTCAGGCGTTCACACTGGCCTGAAAATAACGAGATACGTGCTATGGTGCAAAAGGCAGGAATACAAATCTTAAACCGCAAGCAAATTTTATGGACTTTTTTTTAAAAAATAAAAGACCTTTTCGGGAGACGTTAATGGTGCAAGTCAATAACCAGGAGTTACTATCGCAAGGAAAGTGCTGCCTTTTTGGCGTATGAACTGAATGCAATTATGCAAAAATTTATACTTCTACACAATTCTTGGTTATATCCCCAATGTTTCCTTCTTGTTCATCATTTAAGCCCGTTCACAAACTCATTCTTAAATTGTGTGCACGGAATACGAGTAAATAGCCAACATGAAAATGAAGCCATTGGGTCAAAAGTGGATATTAAGGTCTATTACGTATTAGCTGCCAATGCACACTACTTTAGTATTAACTCTGGCTAACGCCAGACCAATTTACACTGTAACGCCAGACGATTTTACTTGTTAGTGGCAGAGTACTGTCAGTAAATGGGTTAACAAACACATCTGCCAATGTCTCTTATTAACCCATTAACAGGCAATGCACCCTGCTTTAGTATTCTTTAGTGACTCTTCAGAATTTGCTCAGAGTCAATGTGAGTAAAATACATCTTGTATTCAAACGCTTTCATATACAAAGTTTCGTTTGAATACGGCACAGAGTAGGAATATTTATTTTGAATTTTTCAGAATATCGGGTTTTTACTCGCACGCACGTTTATAGCTCGATCAATGCACGTGCAAATCATGCCGACCTACAGAATCGATTTCCGGTTTTTCCTAAACAGCACGTTGTTTTGATGTGCGTTCCATGGGCCGCGCTAAAAATATAAATATTCTGTAAATACCGAAATAAAAGATGACAATCTCAAGACACAAGCTTGAAAATAACACTATAAATAGTGTTTTCGATTCTGGTTCCAATAATATCATTACGAAAAAGATATGTCCAAAGGGGCCGAAGTTATGTTCGGCAAAATGTATGGCTAGTACGTTTACATTGTTTGTTATATTATGAAATATGATACCATACTTGTATTAAAATTCGCGTCGAGCTAATGTTATTGTATTAGGCAAATGAGTAGACTTGCCACAAGTCGACCTCGAACGAAATGCGTTTCTTCGAGGTCGACTTGTGGCAAGTCTAGCAAATGAGAACCATACAATAATGGTTCTAGTTCTTGTTGGTATTTTGAACGCACGCTTTATCTTTAGTATAGCTACCACAAAGCTTTTCGCGCGGATTATATTTCGCGCAGTACTAACATTTCCGCACCCAGCGGCCATAGCCTGTGAGAATTTACGGCTGTACACAGGCTAAGCGGCCAGCGCTACGCTAATTCTCTTAATTCTAGTACTGCGCGGATTTTAACACATGTATTTAAAGGTATATTGTCGACATTTGACTAAAACTATCGTAAGGAATTCGGAGAGTTTGTCCTTGTTTATATTCCAATATATTGTATAAATTTGCTGGGTACAAATTTATGAAATTTTGGGGTTTTCGAGTCGTTTAATTTAATACAAAAAGAAAAACATTAATTCAACAGGCAAGAAAGTCCAGAGTGCGATGCAAAAATTAACACAAGTACACAACGGATGTTATGAGTCCACGACGTATATTTATAGTTGTTTATTAATTAAAAGTCAAACTGTCAAACCTTTAACTTGTCCTTGTTTAAATATCCTTCTATATATTGTATAAATTCGCTGGGTCTAAATTTTCGAGTCGTTACACAAAGAAAAACACATTAATTCAACACGCAAGAAAGTCCAGAGTACGACACAACGTAAAATCCATAGGAAACTGGCACAATTCTTTGAAAATTCAACGAAACTGTGTAAAATATAGTTTGATCACTCTGTGAAAAGCCGCCATTGGAGTTCGGAATTGTGCGCGTGCGTACAAGTGTATGGGCTAATAAACGAAAAATGCACCACAAGCATGGCATGAGTCGGCTATTACGTACATAAATACGGACTTATTACTATAATATGTAAATCATGGAACCGAGAGGATCGATGGCATTTTGGCTTAGTGGTTGCACCCTGAGCCTGCGATGAGCTAACGCAAACTCGATTTCTCGACTACGAAAAAAACAGGAAAAGACAGAAAAAGAGGGATTTAAGACACTTGGCCTACAGGCCAGTGTAATAATGATTGGACATTCATTGGAAAACGTTTTTATGCATATGCGCAGTCGAAACTACGAATTGGTCAGCAGGTGACCGTGGCAACGGAGTGTGAGACTAGATACGAAGTTGACGCTATATGCCGACCCATTCTCGTACCCAGAGCCCTTCTTACGCGCGGTGCGACGCGGGGCTCTGGCCAAATCCATAACCGGATACCATAAAAACATGGTACGAAAACAATGTCCGGTGTTAGAACTAGCCAATCAGATGCCAGTTCGGAATATGGATTTGGCCAGAGCCCCTCGTCGCACCGCGCGTAAGAAGGGCTCTGGGTACGAGAATGATGCCGACCAATCTCGTACCAATAGATTCTTTGGCTCTGGGTACGAGATTGTATGGTATTGTATGAGATTGGCTGGTGGTAACGAGGGTAGCCTGCGTGGCCGACGCTCAATATTGCGTGATTAGTATATGCACAGGTATATGACATTTAACAATTATTCGCCGAAGGCGAGGTGATTATCGGGGAATATTCGCCGAGACGAAGTCGAGGTGAATATTCCCCGATAATCACCGAGCCTGAGGCGAATAATTGTGTTAGTATTTTTACACAAGTCATATTTACATAAGTCATATTGTGTAAAAAATACTAATAACGCATATTTCCTCTTGATGTCAATGCAGCGGCAAAAATAGTACAGCTAATCTTCAATTCCCGGCAGACGGTCTTTCGCTTTCTTCGCCTCGTCCGCTTTTAGATGTTCCGCGGTGGCATAGGCGTACCGGGCGGGGGGGGGCGGCAGCCCCCCCCCCCAGTTTTTTGGGCAGTCGGGCAATATTCGATCAACAGTCGGGCAATTTCGGTTTGCAATAAAAAAAAAATGGGACAAATTCTG